GTCAGCACACCGGACCGCCAGGGCCACTCCCTGTGTTGCGACGCCCGTCTAACTGCTCACGGTTGTGAGTGAGACCGAAAGAACACAGGAGGTTTTACACTTAGACTGCACAGCCTCACGCTGGGAAGGTTTGTGACAGGGTTGGTCAAGACGTCTTCTCAGGAGTACTTGACACATTCCTTTGAAAGGGAACTTTGAGGAATAGTTATGTAAAGCAAAGTTTCCCAGGTCCAAATTTGTAGATTGCAAAACAGCAAGATTTATTGGATCCATGAAATTTCTGGAAAGCTCATCAGTTGCGTCCATTCTATTGCATGGTGAGAGTAACAAAATTGGATTGGTACAGATAGGTCATAGGGCACATTGGATGTCGAATTGGAAAGACTGAAAGATACCTTTCTGAAGCGTGGATATCCAGCTCAGTTTATTGACAAGTATAGTCAACATTTACGAACCAAAAGGACGGAACAGTTAGCTCCAGAAAGCCTGTTTTTGTTTCTTTATCTTTTAAGGGTGATAGCATTTTAAACATCAAGAGACACTTGTTTAATGCCATTGATAGAACTTACTATTCTGCTGAGCTCATATTTTTGCTCTCCAACTAAGGCCTTACCAATTCCTGGTGCGAAAGATGCCTTGCCATTGCACGCGACTTCCAATTGTGTTTATAAATTTGCATGCACTTGCGGGTGCAAGTACATGTAGCGAACGCAAAGGCAATTGGCGGCCAGAGCTAAGGAGCACTTGCCTAGTTGGCTTTTCAAACAGGAACATAGAACGCATTGTTCCTCCATTATAGAACATTTGCTAGATACGGGTCATTCTGTGAACCCTAAAACTTCCTTACGACTACTTGTTCGAGCACGAACAACTCGTACTTTGCGCTGCCTGGAGGCAGCCTATATACGGTGGTCAAAACCTGACCTATGTAAACAGTTGGAGCATGTGGTTAACCTAACTTTGCCTTGGTAAAATCTGGCTTCCAGATTTTCACAGTCCCCTACCCATCTTTTCACCCTAAATACTTTTCATTTGTTTGTCTTTCCACTTCGTTTTAACTAAATAATTTCAGTAATTAGCCTTCGTAAGCTGTCCTATGACCTTTCTGTACCAATTCAATGTTGTATTTTTCTCATTCGTTACGCTCACCATTCAATGGAATGGACTGATGAGCTTTCCCGAAATTTCATGGATCCAATAAATCTTGCTGTTTTTCAATCTACGAATAGTTATGTATTTCACAATGTGGTGTGCTGTATTGGTCCTGCAGTCATAATCCTTCTAATGAATTTCTCACGGTACTCGTTTTCGTGGAACAGATCTTAGGTTTTGCTGGTTGTTCCTCGGAACTCTCCGCCGAGCAAAAGTTTCTGGCCCTTTGCACCAAGTGGCGGACTAAATAGCGTATCTAGTGGATGAGTACGTCACTGTAAAGGTTCGTGCATTGGCCAGACCAAGTTTTCTTTCTTCGATAAACGCTGCTTCGGATGCTACAATCATCTTTTCGACTTAGAACAACGTCTAAGAATGTGAGCTATTCTGCCGTTTCCAGCAACAAGAAATTACTAGACTGATTTGCCTGCTTTAGAGCACTTAAAGGTGCATCTACATTGGTTTCTGTTGTGGCGATTTCAAAGATGCCATCAACTTAGAGACCGTAGTGATTTAGCTCATTGATCTGATCGTTTAGCTGAGATTTCTCCAGCTTGCCCACGATGCTATCGGTTAAGAGAGGTCAATGAGACGAACGCATAGCAAAGCCATCGATTATAGTTGGTTGCCAAAAGGAACTGCACATTTAATTTGCATATTAGTAATAGTTCATTCAGTGCATTCTTTGGTATTCTCGTTGATTTATCAATAGGAATTCGCAGATGTAGTCGACTGTCTCGTTGACCGGTACGTTTGTAAACAAGGATGAGTTGTCTAAAGAGAGCATCGTTCCGCTTAAATGCATGTCTTTGACGGCATGAATAAATTCGAACGTGTCTCGGTAACCACTTGATGCCAACAGATGCTGTAAGTGTTTGAGTTTCTCTGCTAACCACTTTGATATCACATAATACGGCGAGTTTTGCGTGTCCAAAATCAGCCAAACATATAGGCCATCCAAGAAGTCGAGTTAGGCGAACGAACGTTTTCGATTAATTTATCATCAGGCAGAGTTAACAAAAGTTTCAGCAACCAATTAGTAGTATTTAAGCGGAGAGGTGTTAAGAGATCAAAGGGGGTCAGATTCTAGTCATACTTAGGGACCAGAGAGGGAGAGGAAGGGGGCCGACAAGAAGCTCATGTCACCCTGTCGTCCTAGTCTCGCGTTTCGTTGAGAGGCGTGAAGACACAAGGTGTCATCGTCTCGTGACGGCTTGGGTGGCCTGGGGATGTTTGCTGTCGCTATCTCGTCACCGTTT